TGTGATCCACCCACTCTGGCCTCCCAAAGTGCTGGGATTACAGGCGTGAGCCACTATACCTGGCCTGGATCTTTGTTTTGTCTGAGCTTCTGGAGAAGTAGAATTATCAGCAATTATTTTGTCTCTGAACCTATCTCCTACTAATATCACCAAGTGAATGAAGAAGACCATGGAAATTCAAGTTTGAGGATTTGAGGAAAAGATCAATTTTTGACTTGTTAAGTTTGAGATGATCCTTAGACATCCAAGTGGAGATGTCCAGTAAGCAAAAGAAATAAATATTGGGAGCAGTGTTAGTTTTGGAGTCCACTTACAAGCTGAGAGTCAAGGAGTATTGAGTGGTAGAGCAAGAAGTACAGCAAGGTCCTAGCTGTAGTGAAGCATAGGTAATGTTAACTAAGGCACACTACCAGAAGGCAAGGGTCTTACCCAGTATAAGGAAATTCTAAGAACAGATCTGAGAACCAATGGCCCAAATATTAGCTACTGAAGATCTGAAAAGAAGGAAATTGTAAAGCGAAATCAAGTTTGTCATTTATTTCTTGGGAAAGCACTGCTGGGAAACAGGAAGACAACTTTGGAAGGGAACTCATCCCTTGGAGGCTTGATAATGTAGAGAATCAGGCAGCTGAAGAGTTCTACAGGAAGAAGTTAGTATCACAGTCAGAGGACAGACCACCAAAATCTCCCTACATCGTACTATTTACTAAAGAAATTGCATTTCACTGTACTAACAGAAGAGTGCTTTAGTTTGAAAACTAGGTTAGCCACTCCAAACCCTCCACTTCCTCTATTACAGGTCCATAGAATATCCCATTGTTCCAGGTTCCCATGGATGCTAAAATGAACTGTCTGTATTCCCCTTCAGAAATAAAAAACTTGCTTCTCCAGCCTCTGAGAGTGCTACCATAAAATAGCTTGCAGGGCAGCCTTAGCAAACTAATACAGGCCCCATTCCAGGATTTGCTTCTAACTTCCTTTCTAGTGGCCAATAACAAGAGTTAAGACATGAAATAACTTGGCCAAAGTTGTGCTGGTGTTGCTGAAGGAAGAAATGTACTGTACCACACAAGAGCTGCAGGAGCTAGCCACATCTACCCATAAAAGCTAGGAGAATATACATGGGACTGGATTCTAAGGGTGCATGATCAAATGGTGCAGAACATAAAGTTAGATAAGAGTTTATTCAGAGTACTCTTCTGGCCTGAAGGATTTTTAATATCCTGGCAAGAATCCCAAGAGATGGTTCTTAGCAAGAACACACGGCTAAGATATTCTTGGAAATATGGAAAAAGCAATGGCCAATCTAGTGGCATGTATAAATATTTAAAAGCCATGGTACATGATGCAAAAAAGGGTTAAAACACCCAGAAAATCAGGCATCTTGTGTGGATGTACTATATGAGTTTGGAAAACACAGTAGGTGACTAAATTCAGAACAAGGAACATACTATTGAAGGGCACACCAACATCACTATACAGTTAGTGGTGGCTGTTCTATGAGTTGATGGCAAGTGATACCATTATAACACTGGGCTCAGAGAGAGCAATGGAGATGATAAAATCCTGAATAATAGAGGCCAGATGGCAGCATTTAACAATTAGACCCCTCAGAAACCATGTGGACACAATTACTGTAATAAATATTGAGAACTGCAGAACTCTCAACACATAACAACTCTGTCAAAAGCCCTCCACTGAGAGACTTGACCAAATTTTAGCATTTCCTCTAGCAGCATAAAGTGTCCCTTGGGTGAGCGCAGGTCCCTACCCCCAATAAAAAGCCTGTCTGAGAATGCTCAGTGCTACCAGTAAAACCTACTTTTTGTTGTAGCTAACACATGATAATAGGCCCTGATCTTCTTTCTTAGAACATTTATTTATTAAAAGGAGTTTACAGTTATAAATATGTATCTCTTGCAGCTCACAAGTTTCTTTCTCCAACAACCTGGGAACCATTCTTTTTAAGAATAGTTATCAAGCAGGATACCTCTGTTTTCCAGTCTCTGTGAGGATAGAATCCTGACTTTGATAATTGCCAGCTAAGAAACACAGCTGTCCTAAACACATTAACACTGATCAACCCTTTGTACTTTTTTACTTCTCTGACTCTGCTGAGCCCCTACAACCCCCTACTCCCACTCTCCTTTTGAAACACCCAAATCACCTCTGTACAAATCAGAAGGTAACCCAGCTCTTTCCCTTACTGTTAGCAATTTCCAAATAAAATTCGTTTTCACTTGTTTAGTATTAGGCCATGTTTATCTTTGACAACAGGTAGGCTATGGAGGATGGGGACAGTGATCCACAGTTATGGAGATACTTAATAGAACTTTGCATCTCTAGAGGCCAAATGAATGGATCGTCAATGGAGTACTCAGTCTTTACAATTAAATCAATGATGGCTGATTAGAAGGATGAAGGCTCAACAAGAGGTCATGATTCTTCTCTAGTTTCCGAATCTGAGCCAATTTTTGTACCCGGAACTCACTGAAAGAGAAGTTGGGTCTCTAGGAGGAGACACCCTGCAATATCATGGCAAGGGACATATGGTATTGATTTCCTCAGACTTCCTCCAGAGGAATTTATAGCCTTTAACTCAGGTAATTACATACTGGAGACAGGGGAATACCCAATCATTTCAAGGTCTGTTTACCACAGGGTCAAAGTTGACACAGGACCAAAGACCTAAAGCATCATCATGGCCTCTCTGACAGAGTGGGGGGCATTTCAGGTCTAGGTAATAACTAAAATGCTAGGATTTAGGATTTAGATCTAGCATTTTAGTTATCTAAAATGCTAGATCTAGTTCATACAGAATCCGCTAGTCTGTAGACCTGTCATGTCTCTAGTCCCTGAATTTGTAATTGGAATAGATACACACGTTTTCTTGACCTATGGGGTAAGAATTATCAGAGTGCGTATACTAGTTTTCTAGGGCTGCTATAACATAGTACCACAATTGAGTGTGTCAAAACAACAGCAATTTATTCTCTTAACAATTCTAGAGGCCAAAAGTCCAAAATCAAGATGTCAGCAGGGTTGGTTCATTTCTGGATACTCAGAGGGAGAATCCGAACCATGCCTCTTTTCTACCTTCTGGTAGTTGCTGGAAATTCTTGATGTTCCTTAGCCTGCAGATGCTTATCTCCAGTCTTATCACATGGCTGTCTTCCCAAAGATGTCTTCTTCAAAGGTTGCCATTCATTTTGATTTTAGGGCCCACCCTACTCCAATATTACCTCATCTTTTTACATCTGCGAAGATCCTTTTTCTAAATACTGTCACATTCTGAGCCTCCAGGAAGGACATGAATTTTGGGGAAACTACAGTGGGAAAACTGTCCTAGCCCCATCAAGATAGGAAATAAAAACATTTCATTTTGAGAAAGGGGATGGGAAAGGAATGGAAGAAATTAGTGCCACTTTTAAAGACCTAAAGGTGCAAGTGGGAGGGAGATGGTCTTTATAATATTTCTGTGTTAATATACTAATCTTGCTCCTGCAAAAATCCAATTCTAGAGAAGGACATTAATCTAGAGCAAATTCAGCCAACTAGTGGCTTCACTTGAGTAGCCTAACCAGATGTGCTATCTTTGCCAGAGCTGATTAAGAAGAGCTTCTGTCGGCCATGTGCAGGGGCTCATGCCTGTAATCCCAGCACTTTGGGAGGCTGAGGCAGGCAGATCACGAGGTCATGAGATCAAGACCATCCTGGCCAACATGGTAAAACCTCATCTCTACTAAAAATAGAAAAATTAGCTGGGTGTGGTGGTGGCGCATACCTGTAGTCCCAGCTAACCTTGGCACAGTTGACATTTTGGGCTGGATACTTTTGTTGTTGTGAGAGTCTGTCCTGTGCATTGTAGGGTATTTGTAACATTCCTTGCCTCTTCCCAGTAGATGCCAGTAGCACCCTCTCCCAAGTGACAACCAAAATGTCTCCACACTTTGCCAAATATCTCCTGAGGGAGGGTTGGGGTCGCAGTAGTGGGAGGAAGACAAAATTACTCCCATTTGAAAATACTGATTTAATGCATTTATTTGGGTTGAAAAATGATTCAATTCATTTGTCCAAAGGTGTCAGTGGAAAAGCTAGTTTTAAAATTTTTCTGTGGTTTTTCCATACACAAGTAATGTTTCATACTCTGTGCTCAGAGGAGGTGGGTTCTTGATTCTGGTTCACTCAGATTGAGGTAGTAGAGAGAAAATTTCTGTTCTAATATTGTATTAAATACATTCTATCAGAGTTTTATAGACTATCTGCATGCTTATTCTCAAGGTCTGTGCATATTTAAATGCATGTCTTCTTTCAGTGCTGTTTTGAGTTAATATTAGGTTATCTTTGAATATCTTGTGAACTATCTTCTTACATGTGAAGTTATTTATTTGCTATTCTTAAGTCATTTCTCAGTGAGGTTCCCAATTTGGGACTACTCACTTTGGGCAGGGGGATCACTATTTACAAGCCTATATTATGAATATTAGATAAGTGCCCTGGATAAGAATAAACTCTTCATAAAGACAGTGTGGCAGATCCACAAGTTTGAATAGCTTTGCTTACATTTTGAAGTTCAAAGAAAGAATCTTTTCAAAAGATTCCTACTGGTAGTATTTGACTTATGGCCATTACAATCATTATATGTAAAGTTATTGTAAGATGCAAACCCAGGATCTTATCTTGGTCCTCATAGTCATTCTCATGCAGCTGAGGATACAAAACCTATACAGCAGACAACTGAGAAAAAAGTTGAGAAATGAATTGTATAGAAAGCCACTGGAAGTTTTTCTTTGACTAGTTAAAGCTCAAAAGAATTTAAAATGTACAATTTAAATTCAGAGCTGTAACTGTGCTGGGGAACAATGAATTTCACACTGAAATGCGACAGTGCCAAAATTATTTAAAAGTATTGTAACTCTAACTTTAAAATTAAGTGCCTTTTTTAGAAAAAAAAATCTCAGTAACCATGAGAGATACTGTTTCTTATCCTGATAGGTGGAAGCAGCACAATGCAAGATGTGGGTGGATGCCTAGTACATCTAGTAGAAATGGGGCAGAAAAAGAGTGAAACTCTGATCACCAGATGGCAGCAGAGGCTTGTGCCAAAAGGATACCTTTCTGGTCCCAGAAAGGGGTGGGGTAAGGCCACTTGAGCAGTGGTGGTGCCAGCAAGGAAGTCTAAGAAGCCAGAACTGAATGAACTAAGAAGCCAGACCTTAACTCTTCTGAGCCAGAGTCACCCAAGTGCTAGTTCGTTGGAGAAATGGTGAGGCAGTAACAGAGTTCAAGAGATTAGAAAAAAGAGTAAGAGGGGTGAGCCAGAAGATAATCCTAGCCATTCACCAAACTTGAAGGCAGAATAGCTAGAGTTTAGAAAGCATAGGAATGGTCCTTAGACAGGACAGGGCAAGAACTTTAAGTTAGATTGTAATCACCAGTTATAAATCCCTCCTTTGGTCTCTTTGAGGAGCCACAAAATAGGAAACTTTTCAGGCACTCTCCAAATGGCACAGAATCTTGTTATGTCTAATACTGAAAGTAAATTTTATCGATAACTGGGATAACTTGGAGGGAGATGGGCAGAGATGATTAAAGGAAACCTCCAGAAAAGGTGTTTTTTGAGTATTTTTAAATAAAGGTATAACCATAGTATCTGATCTAATTTTTTACTGTCACTTCTTTTGCTTCAAAAGGTAAAACCAGTGATATTCACATCCTTCAGAAAAATTAGTATTATTTTCCTTAAAAAAATCACTATTTAAGAATTTCATTGATAATTCCCACTGGGAGAAAGCATCAAGGTGAGCAAAATACAAGTGGCATTTTAATTGAAATATTTAAGAAGTAAAACAATTTCAACTGTAAGAAGAGACTTGATATATAAGAACTTAGCATTAAAAATGTCAATTAACATTAAGTGAAGGTTTACTCTGTAAAAGGCATTGTTTCATTGCTGTATGCACATTTTGTAGACTATTGGTTCATTGACTTGCAGCCTCAAAATTATCTGGGAGAATGATGCCAGCAAGATGACAGGAATGATGCCAACAAGAAGGTAACCCATTCATACCTCCCCATCCCCCATAACAACAATAATTCTGCACCACCACAGACCAAAGTCTCTCTGCAGGAGCCTCAGGATTCAGGTGTAAGGTTGTGAAACCCCAGTGCATCCTAAGACCTAGAGGGCTGTTTTGAGAGTGCAGACTAGCACCTTAGTGGCTGATTTTGCTTGTGGGTTCAAGCCTGGAAATGGCTCCATTCTCCTAGGAGCTTGGCTAAAAACCCATTTGGTCTTGAGCCTAAAAGCAAAACCATCTGCCAAGGAATACAGAAAGAATCATGCACACTAGTGCTTCAACAGAGAGCCTTCTCTGCCTGCTGACAATGAATCTGAAACTTTCCCTGTGATTTGACTCCAGCCCTTCTCTGCTGAAGTCCCAGCTCAGAACTGCTTACACAATGACCTAGAGTGAGACCCACCCATATCTTTCATCTTGGAAGTCTGAACTTCCATATTGTGCTCCCTAGCCTCTGTCCCATAATAGATCCTGAGAGAAGCCAGCTTCAGTTCTGATCCTTCTGCAGTCAGGGAACTAGCCCATCTGTGCAGAGACCCGCTGGGAGATGCACACTTATCTGAGTTAATAAGACGGGCTTGCCAGCTGCCATTCTGTAGCAGATTCAAGGTCCCCCTAGTCTTAGCCCTGGCCTTTCCTGCTGCAATCAAGGAGCTACCTCACCTGTGCAGGGACTGTTAGGAGATGGACATCCATCTTAGCTACCAGAACAGTCTTCTGAGGCTTAGGTTTCTGGCCAGATTTTTCATACAGCCTGAGTACTCTCTTTGGGTCTTCCCCAGGTCTATCTGGAGTAGAATGTTGCATAAATCTCAGAGCTCTGACAAGACTCACTGCAATCCTGAGCTTAGCACGCCCTTTAATGCCCTAATGCTGAAATAGCTGTACTGGTCTTGGGCTCAGGGAAGACAGTAGTCAGTCTCCTTGGAGTCTGTGGACGATCTACTGAAGAAGAATGGACATAAAGCCAGACTGAGGTGACTATAATAAATGCCCAGTCTTTCAAAGTGCAGACATTGTCACACATCCACAAGCATAAAAAACATTTAGGGAAATATGACCTTACCAAGTGGACAAAATAAGGCACGAGGGACTGGCCTAAAGTGACGGAAACTGCAGTCTTTTAGACAAAAATGGTAAAATAGCTGTTTTAAGGAAGATCATGGAACTTCAAAAATATACAGAAAAACAATTCAGAAATTTATGAGAGAAATTTAATGAAGATTGAAATAATAATTAAAAAACACAAACATGCTGGGGTAGAAAAATATAGGGAACACAATGAAAAATGAAATAGAGACCATGAAAAGCAGAACTGATCAAATAGAAGAAAAAAATTAATGAACTCAAAGACAGGCTATTTGGAAATCATCAGAGGAGGAAAAAAAAGGAATGGAAAAAACAGTGAAGAAGGCTTGTGGAATTGATGGGACAACATTAAAAGAGAAAATATTCCAGTAGTTGGAGTTAAAGAGAGGGTTGAGAAAGACAAAGCAGTGTGAAGTTTATTCAAAGAAATAATAACAGAGCTTTCCAAACCTGGGGAAAGATATAAATACACAGGAACTGGGAGATCAAAGCTCATCAATCAGATCCAACCCAAATAAGAATACCCCAAGACACAATCAAACTTTGGAAGGTTAAAGACAAATAGAGATCTCTGAAAATAGAGAAAGAAAAGAAGCAAGTAGCGTATAAGGGAACACACCTGACAACAGACTTTTCAGCAGAAACCTTAAGGCCACGATGGAATGGAACATGTTGTATTCAGAGTACTGAAGAAAAATAAAACTGCCAATCATGAATACTGTATCCAGCAAAGCTGTCCTTCAGAAATGAAGAAGAGGTAAAGATTTTACTAGACACACAAAAGCTGAGGGGAATTCATTACTGTTAGCCCTGTCCTATAAGAAATACTGAAGGGAGTTATAATCTAAAGAAAAGAATGCAAACATGATTGTTATTCTAATACTATAATTGTGGAACATAAACCACTTATATCTTCAGTATGAAGAATAAAACAAAACTATTAAAAATAATAACAAATTAGGCCGGGCGCGGTGGCTCAAGCCTGTAATCCCAGCACTTTGGGAGGCCGAGGCGGGTGGATCACGAGGTCAAGAGATCGAGGCCATCCTGGTCAACATGGTGAAACCCCGTCTCTACTAAAAATACAAAAAAC